TTATAGAACGATCAACAACAGTAGAGTTCATGTGAAGAAAATAAATTCATTGTCCTAGATAACATGAGAATAGACTCTTATTTTGCAAGGGAAGTTCCTAAATCTCCTATTTCTAAACACTTGTCTAGATAGATGAACTCCCTAGAGGAACTTTTGGCTCTAACTCAATCATTCACTAAGATCTATGTTTGAATCTAAGAAATTTGAACCACAACTTGTATTTAAGATCAAACATAGAAAGAACTAAACTATCCTAACTACCAAAGCATATATTTTTGCAAGTCATCATATCAAGAATAGCAATTGTAATCATTAGTGTAACTAGTCAACATATAAAGAAAAGTTTTAGCCAAACCTCTTTATAACTGACTAATCATCTTTTCTACATAGATTGCTGATGACTAATCATCTTTTTTTGATTGATGAAGACCTTCCTTTGTCACTGTATGTTTCTCTCGAACTCTTCTTCTCCCTTTGTTACCTTGTTGTCTCTTGTTTGATCAATTCATCTTTCATGGATTTTCTTTCTCAATCAAGCATTGAACCTTGGGCTGCTAGAAATCTTTGTTTTCAAGCTATTAAGCTTTCGTCTAGAAAACCTTGCTTTGATACCACCTGTTGTCCATATAGCTGATCCAAGAGGGGGTGAATTGGGTTCTTTAACTTTTTTGGATCAATTGTGCTCATTTTGAAATACTTGAATGCAAATGTATTCTTGTAGAGGAACATGATGAAGGGAACCGATTGATTAAAATGCAAGTGTGAAACAAAAATGAAGATTAAAAAAGATACAACACACACAAGATTTTATAGAGGTCCAACTAGCCTTAGCTTGCTTCCACTACTCAAGCTGCTTTTGAGATTTCTACTAAAATAAATTTATTGAACTTAATGGCGCTAGTCAAACCAATACAATTAGTAGGACTTGGGTGCCTACTATACCTGGATAGACTTTCTTGGTGCTATCCCTACCAAATAGGACACCCTAAATACAAATGATGATACAATGAAAGCATTGCTACAAATAGGACACCTCTCAATAGGCACACAATAATTGTTACAAAGAACTACTCCAAGATGCAAGATAACTTCATGAAGACCTAGGACTCAAATGGGGATTTCCTCGCTTTTTTTTTGACTCAAGGGTTTTCTCTTTTTTCATTTTAAGAGAAACTCAGAAGATCACTCTTTTGATAGCTCATGAATTCCTCTTCCTTTTCTTGTAAAACCTTTGGTTTCTTACATGGTTGTTCAGCTCTTTCTTTTTCTTCTCATACATTTTTAGGCTAAACAATATTGACATTATATGACTGTTTTTTCAATGTAAGAGTTAACCAATCCTTTTTTGGTACTCTTTGAAAGTGATTTTTAACTTGTTTGAAAAATTTTCCAAGGAGGAAAGGACCTTGGAGTTCAAGCAGTTGAATATAAATCGTGTGAGAATGTTTCCTTCATATAGTAGTTGATTAATAGACTTTGTTAGTCGACTACTAGGCTTATCAAATCACGATTGCCAAAGGTAGTAGGTTCAACATTTTGAGTAGTTGACTATTCACAACAGTGGTTTATGAAGTGTAAACGACTCCTTACTATTCATAGCCTTAGCCTTAGAGACTTTTAAAATTTTGATTCCAAAGGCCTGGGGATCATTTCTTTAGGCTTTTAAACTTAGTTTTTTATATTTAAGTTCATGAACACTTAAAGAACCAAAACTACTTCTAGTCGTTGGTCTTTAAGGTTTTGTCAACTGAGTTTAATCTCATTTTATCCCATGTTGTGTATCTTGCACCCAATTACATCAAGTCTTAATTAAAGAGCTTGGATCTTGATATCTTATTTTCTTCTTCTTTCTTGGTAGCAAATTTTCATCTTACTAATGTTCAAATTATCATCTTTTGTGGAGAGTCTTGGGGTGTTTTCACTACATCATATGAATCAGTTGCTCTTACTTGCCTCATGTAAATAATTTCTTCTTCAACTTTGTTAAGCTCAACTAAGGATTGTTTTTCTGTAGTTGCACACTTACTTTTTCAAACTTTTAGTACTCTCATTGAGTTTGTTATAATCAAAACACATAAAGTCAACACTATTTGCCATATATATTTTAAGGTGAGAATTAATATTGTACCTACTACTTCATTATTGTATCTACTACTAATGAATTTGTGACAGCAGTTGAATGAAGAAGCTGGGTTAGATAGGCAGCTACTGTATAATGGTGGGCTATTATTTTTTCTCTTGATCATAATGCTCAAAAACTAGACTTGAATAAAGTTCAAATTTGTATAGATGCTCAGCACATAGTTGATGCCTTAGCATCAAAGAAAAGGGATGTAAAATGGATGAACATGGCATATTTGAAGAAGTCAAGGTCATATTTGGTTCAACACTCACTCATTTTCTTTCTTTACAATGATAAAAGTCTAGAAGGGAAAAAAGGGTAGAAATGGGCAAAATGAGAAAATGTTGCTATGAATCAAAGGCTTTTTATTCTGGAAAAGTGAATTCTTTTTGTTGCAAGAATGATAATAAATTTTGAACCCGTTTGGTTATAAATAAGATAAAACATCATATAATTGTGCCCCATTTTGCTCATTTTCATTCTTTAAAGAATCTTTGTATCCATGATTACTGGTATAAAATTTTACTGATGGAGATGGCGGTGGTCAATGTCCATCAGCATAAGTTTTCATGACAGTAGTAATTGACAAATAGTTGACTTCTATCCATTTGTTGGTAAAAATCTACCTCAGCACTTTATAACTACCAGTACAGAGCTTTTATGAAGAATGAATATAAGAAACATGAGATACGATTTTTGTGAAATGGGCTCAATTTTCAATCTAAAAGGAATGAGGCCCATGAGAAGAATTTTGTAATCAAACAGTCTCATGTTATTCATTCTTGCCTAGAATGAGTAAGAATTAAAGGAATGAGGCTCGTAGCAGCAAATCAAACTTGGCCCAAGTTTCTTAGGCTTAAATTTGGTGTATGCATATTTTTTGTATATACTAACAAACAAAAATTGTGTAGTCCATGAAATAGCTAGTAGAACAAGAAGTAAAGGTGATCGAGATCACTAGAGAGACCCTCTTAGTTGGTTAAGAGATGTGTTTTGCACTCATCCATTTCAGGAAGTAAATTGTAATACTTGTGACTCTTATTTGAGTTGTTAGTTCCTTTTATTTTCCCCCCAAAAATGTAAAATAAAGCTCAACGCCAAATAAAGCAAAAGCTAAAAAATGAATTAAACTTTATCCTTTTTTGATTTGTACTTCAATGCATGCCTATTAAGGGAAACGAAATTGTATTACAAACAAATAAAGCTTATTTAGTTATTTTTAACAACTGAAATGGCTGAACAGAATGATTTATTACTTTGTCTTTTAGTGGATAAGTCATTAAGTGGATGGCAAACTCCTAAATGGCTAAATGGAATGTTATATATCTTGGTTGACATACTACTTAAAAGCTGAAACTCAAGAAGAATTGGTCCATCTAAAATCAACAAGGTTATATTAATTCAATTATATAATCACAACTTGTTGGTTGATATCTTTCACATCGAGATGAAAAGAAGCATGGCAATAGACACTTCTTTTCCCATTGGAATATAAGAAAAAGAAAATCAAGGATATCATCTGTTTGCTTTCCTTTTTTGTTAATATCATAGTTAAAATCAAAATATATACTCTATATATTGTAACAAGGAAAGAGTAATGTGGCTCTCTTACCTATGATTTTATATATGTTTAAAAAATTACAAAATTAATCAGTTGACATGTTAGGTTGGGAGTGTGATCTCTCCTTTTTTGTTCTTTTTTTTTTATTTTTTCCTCTTTTTTCTACCACATGACAAATCACTATGGTCCACTTCTATTCTTTCCAATTCCTTAAAATTCCTCCATTTTTTTCTTCCACATTTCCACTGCAAAACTATTTTTTCTTAAAATTCCCTCCATCTCTCATCATGCTTTCTCTCATTCCATAAAAATATCTCCTATATTGATTTATCTTTTATTTTATTTTATTTTTTGTTTTTATTGTTTTCACCTTGCAGAGTGTAGATAAACATGCAGTCTTGCCTATTAGAGATAAAATCCTATTTAGGGACCTCACCTAACAACTTAAGACTTTAGGTTGAACAGTTCCTTGAGATAGTATGAAAAGCGCAAGAGATGCATAAACCTATAATTACCCACATTTCAAGAGGAATAGGTTTTATAATCAGTACACATGTTCAGCTAGGCTCCGGGCCCAATTTTACACTGTATCGGGCTCGGGCTTTGGGCCTGGCCCATTAGAATTTTAACAAAAGTCAAGCTCGATACTAGCCCATGAACAAGTCTAATTGTCAGGGTGCGTGGTTAGGGAGTGTAATCCAACTGAATTGAATTGAATTATAGGAGGCTCGACTCAAAAGCTCAGAGCTTGAAAGTCGATTCAATCTCAATCAAGTTTTAATGGACAACAGTGACCGTTGCCATCTGATTTTAATGCACAAGTGGTCCATCATCTGAGTCAGATCGCCTGCCAATAAAATACTTTCTAACACTCTACCAACACAATCAGACACCACACATCTTATACATGGCAAGTCCCACTTTTATGATGGGTCAGTCTCATGGTGAGATGTGCTGTGTCAGATCATGTTGATAGGGGATTGGAACGTGTTTTGTTGGCAGGAGATCTCAACTCCTACAATCTGAAGTATTGATTTAGAGTAAGATTTTTAAAATCGAATTGGACAATGAACCGGTCAGGGGTTCAGTTTCTGGGTAGAATGGCCCGACCGTTCAAACCTAATGGATGACCCATTTTGAAAAAAAGAAACGGCGAAAACCGTTGGACGGTTCAACTGCCTAGGTCAGCGGTTTGCTGATCAAATCAACGGTTTTTGACAAAATAACGGTTCTAGGGTAAAACAGAATGAATGAACTGACTGGCTCCCGGTTTTTCTGATCCGACCTTCCGGTCCGGTCCGATTTTGAAAACCATGATTAAGAGTAAAATTTTTAGAGTTCACTTTTGATAAAGTTGGTAGGAACAGACAACTACAAAGGCAGATTTTTTTTTTTCAACATTTTTTTTTTTCTGGAAAGCTATATAACTGCACAATAATGTACGCCTCAGCGGCTCAGACTAAGCATCAGCCATGAGTGTTAACTGCTTCCCAAATCAAATTCTTGGGAACTGGGTTGGTGAGATCCCGTGCCTGCAATGCCGCAGTCCTAAGAGTCCCGATTGTTCTCCTGTTAGCTTCCCAGAATGTCAGGCTTGTGTAAGGCAAGTTGTGCTTCTTGCACAGATCCTTCACCAGTGGGGAGACCTTCCTGAAATGGCACCGAGGCAACCGAGGGAACAAATGGTGCTCAATCTGAAACTCCAATCCTCCATGAAACCAGTCCATCCAGGATGGGCACTCAATATCAAGTGTGCCTTTCGTTTGTTTTTCAAACCAGTCATTCCCGCTGGGCGGCCCCAGATAAACGGCCGACGAGAAATGACTCAGGCAGAACTGAACATGTTGAATTCCAGTAACAGCAAGGCTCGCAAGTATGAACATTACCCTCTCACCCCAGTTGGGCAGGCAGGAAACAAGCAAGGGGAACCAAGTCCAGAAGATGAGGATCCCCACAATCTCCTGACCTCTTCTGGGGACCCTTCTCTTGGAGAGCAGAAACAGAAACGCCTGTGCAAATAGATTAATCCGAGCAATGCACATAACAGGGTAGAAAGTCCAATGCTGGTAACTCACCAGAAATCGAGCAACAGAATCGAAACTCATTTTCCTCCCATAAAAGTAAGATGTGAGTGAATTGAAGAATTTCGAGGATACCGCGAACAGGGGAATATGTTGAAGATCTGGGTCGAAATCCAGACTGTTACAGGCAATGTGATGACCATTGTGAATCCATTTCCACCACCCCATGCTGAACCCTGTGAGGCAATTTCCTATAAGAACCTGTGCGAACCGGTTGAGCCTAGGACTTAGCATGGTCTGGTAATGCGCAGAATCGTGCCCAAGCCATCCACTCTGAACCCAGAAAAAACCCATCACCCCACCGCAGGCCAGATGAACCCAGACATTGTTAGAAAGCAGAACACCGCAGACGGAAGAAGCAAAAATCATTGCCACGAAACAGAGGGAGAAGAAGACACCATGACCTTTCTTCTCAAACAAACCCATTTTAGTGAAATCGGAAACAAGTTTCCTGTAATCCTTGGAGACCTCGGAGACATGGTAGTCCTCCAAGTACCCAATAAAGAAGCGATCGAGAAGTTTCCATGCAGTACCCGGATGATAAGCGACGAAAGCATCTGTGACGTCCTGACCGGCGAAATTCAGGAGTGGAGTGTCACCGCCCGGGTGATTTTTAACCCAATCCGTTACGTCGTAGACCTTTCCCTGGATAGAGATCCAAAGATCTCCGGCTTTGTTATGTTTCCTGAGCTCATCGCTTGAAATGTACCTCCTCTCTCCCTCCATTGTAAAAACCAAAACAAAGTGAAGAACCCAGAACTTAGAACTCAAAACGCCCTCAGAGGGATCTCTTGATTTATGCTCAATATCCCTCCATTCTCATTTCTGGTTTTTGGAGGGATTTATAGGGAAGCTTCGGGGTACAGCGGGACAAATTGAACAAGCGTTACAGAGTATAATTTTTAAAACAACAAATCATTTCACACAAAAAGATCTAACATAACCGAGGGAGCTGATATGGAAAAGAAATGATTACTCATGAATGATTCTACTGAGTTTATTTGAATAACAGTGTTCATTGCTTACGTGGCTACACTAAAAAGCCTTCGTGAACCACTTTTTCATAATTTTAAAGATAAATGAAATATAAACATTTTTGAAATAAAAGAAGTCATATCAAACATCCCCTTAATCTTTTAAAAATTGACACAAAACTGGAACCACTTTACCACCGGTAGCCAAATCAGCTGTTCAACTGTTTAGTCTGCATGAATCAACAGAGACCGGATCTGTCCTACCATGTATTGGGAACATCTCCCCTACTTTTAAGTTATTATTCATGAGAAATGTTCTCAATGTAAGGTGGATGTGCACATGAGGCACCCAAGTGTGAAGAGCAAATCCCGAATCAACATATGGTGCTTTAAAAAGAGATGGATCTGTTCCTCACAAGTGAGGTGCCTCACACACACACATCCTATGGTACACTGGAAACACTTCCCGTACTTATTTGTTATTATTCACGGGAGATATTTTTAATGCACGGTGGATGTGCATGTGAGATGCCCATTTGTGAGGAGCAGAAAAAAATATATTAAAATAAAAACTTGTTCAAAAATCCATTGTTTATGCCAAATGAGTTGATGGTTTGACTGCCCAAATCGTCTCTGATCAATTCAAAGTTATTTTAGGAAAGTAATGGTATGGGGTTGAAATGGAACTGGTACCTTAACCAATTTCTAGGCCGAATGGTCCAACTGTCTAGATCAACGACGGCTTTAAAACCTTGGTTCTAATCATTCTTACTCTTATGCTGATGATGGGCAGAATTTACTATGAGCCCCATTATAAAGGTTATTATTGCGGCAGTTATTACAGTTGTATTCAATTACTCACTTTTTTTTTCAAATTTTTGAATATCTTACATCAAATTTTAAAGAAGTAATTTAAAAAATTTTAGATAATAGGTTGGTTAAGCTTGTCGAATAATCACTTTTAAATTTATTTATTTTATATAAAGCGAATACTTGCTTTGGTTGTTAAGGGTGCTCATGGTTCGGTTAACCGAACCATAGGGCATTTTTTGGAATCGAACAGGTACTATCTGTTTTTGAAAAACAAGTAATTGGAATCGAAATGAAGTCAGCCGATTAATCGGTTGACTGGTTCGGTTCATTGATTTTTTGGGTTTTTAGTTTTTATGATATATATTATAAAAAATATATATAAAAAAGATATATAAAATATATATATAATATACATAAATATATGTATACCAATTAATTCAGTTAACCGATTTTTCAGCTTGCCAAAAAATTTGTATTATTTACCATACACATGGAAGCCGAGGGCCCAGCTTTCCAAGAAAAAGCCCACAAGAACCAAAAGAATGATAGTTAACGCCTAAAAGGGAGGTGGGGATGGTTGATACGAATGGTAGTTATAGTTTTACAGGTGAACGCTATAAATGTGTCTAAACTTTTTTTAATTGCTTTAAAAAAAGATTTTTTTTTTTAATTGTATCAAAGGCTAAGTTTAGGAGTACTTAAAGTTAATCATTTATTCGAATAAACATTTATTTTGAATTGGGACTACAGCAATTAGTACTTATTTGCATTTAAGAAATAAGCCCAAATATGAATTTATTTGAGAAGAAAACTAATATTTGGACTTATTTTTAAGTGTTTATTTCATCAAACCTCATAAACACTTATTAGAATATTAATAAGAATTTATTTTTCAAATAACCACTCCCAAACTCCATAAATGAATATTGATTAATTAGTTGGGTCATTCCAATGGGAGACATCCAAACACTTATCCACTGAATGTGGATTTCCACCTCATGGAATGGTTCTCGTGCCTACCTATCAGTATTTGTAGTCATGCATTAAGAATATTTTCTCATATAAATAAAAACATACAAATATAAAAGATATTCCCAATGTGTACGCAATTCTACCTCACTCATAGATGTAACAGGCTACCACCTACCAATACTCGTGAAACACCATGGATTGATATCTGATATGTGGCCTTGTTGGAGGCATTTCAGCCATCAGCCATGGTATGAGTGGCATTAATTATATTTGCAGCCGTGCATTAGGAACATCTCCTCATGAATGAAAACGTATAAATACAGGAGATATTTTCGATGTACGTAGCAATTCTATCTCATTCATAGTTGCAACAGGCTACTATCTACTGCTTGTGGTGATGAACCATCATTTGATTTCTGATTCATGGCCTTGTTGGTGGCATTTCATTCATCAGCCATGGTATGAGTGGCATTTATGATATTTGTCCATGCAACCCAGGATGAAATAACTCTTTATATGGGTACTAATTACAGGACCATGGGATGGTCATTCAATTAGGGCCTATTTGTTTACTTTGATGTCTACGTTTGAAGGTGCAATAATTATATGAAGAGATATATTGGTATTGATAAACTTTTCTTTCCTCTAAATTCTGAATATAAAGAATGTTGTTCTGAATTTTGAATTCTAAAAATTGTTAAATATCCATTTTAACCCTATATATGAGAATTTTTTTTTCATGCTTTGAAGGTATCATTAAAAAACAAAAAGTTGTAAGGCTCTTTTTTAAGAGATAAGAGATAAGAGGAAATGAACACATATTTTTCTCTTAAAGTTGTAAGATTCCTCTTAAGAGATAAAAGTTAAGAGGAAACGAACAAGCCCTCAGTGTCTTTGATCAATGGAGCAAGTAAGGATCATGGTTCAATGAGCATGTATATTGGAAGGGATGTGTCGATACTTTGAATTTTGTGCGTTTTGTTGTTTTTTTTTTTTCAAAATTTCACATGAAGGCTATTTTTTGTTATTTCATTATTGAAAAAAGAACTTCTAAAAATACATTAAGAAATGAATATCATTGAGCAAAAGATATGATACGATATGATACACTCCATATTGATACTTGAACCTTGGCAAAGACCAAGGAAAAACACATCCAAACACCTATACACATATATCGACACATGTAAATTGTCATAGTAGATAGGGATTGAAACTAGGACTAGATTAATCGAGATATGCTATTCCATAGGGATGCAAGCGGATCAGATCGGATTTGAATTAGGGTATATTTGAATCGGATCCAACATTGTTCACGTCACATCCAATCTGATCTGAAGATACGATAGTATCTTATAAGACTTGATTTGAATTCGAATCCTCTCGGCAAGTTAGATCTTCGGATATGATCTGATCCAACTTGTTTTCTTTAAAAATTAATATATTATTAAAATAAAAAATAAAATATACTAATTTAAATAAAGTAAAAATAAAAATACAAGTATTTTTTAATTATTTTCATCATATATATACATGTTTTTTATAAAAAATAAATAATAGAACAAATTTATAAAAATATAATATAAAAAATATATTTATAAATAAATAAATAACATATATATGCATTATATATATTTTATATTTACAAATATATAATATATATCGGATCGAATATGGGGTGATCCGAATTCGACCAAATAGGATCGAATTAGATCATGATCCAATCCATTTGCACCCCTACTGTTCCAGGTTTGGTAATTGGCCATTTGACCAACCAGGCTAGGCTGAGCTTTACATGCTTAGGGCTTGGGTTTTAGGAATGCTAATGTGGTTTGCCCTAGCAGTTGGCATTTAGTGGTCTACGTTGGACTAGTCTAGACTTAATGTTTGAAAGTATTTATTGGATTGGATTGGACCTGGTCCATTTGTAATGGATTTATATTGGATTGGGTCAGATTGAAGTAATATCTTTTTTTTTTTGATAAATTAGATTGAACTAATATCCAATCCATTGACAGAAGATAAGATGGGTGTCAATGGACCATGCTTGGATTGGACCCAATCTAAATTAAAACCAATTTGAATAGATTGGACATTCCAGAGACATTGAATTGGACCAATCTGGAATGGTCCAAAGTATTCATTGGATTGAATTGAACCTGGTCCATCTATAATAGGTTCATATGAACTGGGTTGGGTTGGGCCAATATCCCATCCATTGACAGCCCTACTATGCTGGTCCTAAATGTGGGGACTTGAAATCTAAATAGTCGCCTGAAATGCCTTAATTGAGAGCGGGCCAGTTCTCGAAATCTTAGCACGACAGTCATTTCAAAATCCTTGCAAGGATCTACCTTTTATTTTCACTTCAATAGCTTGATCCAAAAACAGACCTTAATTAGAGTAGAGTAAAAAGAAATATGGTATATCAATAAATAAAAAAAAAGAGTAGAGTAAAACTCTAAATGCTTGGATATAGGGGTGGATTCGAGCCGAACTGAGCTGAATAGTTGGCTATTCGAGTTTGTCTCGCAGGAATAGTATTAGGCTCAAGCTCTATTCGAACTAGAGACTTGAGCTCGAGTTCGGCTCAGTTCATAGCTCGCAAGTTCAAGCTTGAATAAAAACCAAGTTTTTTTTGAAAATAAAAATTATATGTATAAAATTATATTTTCTATTTTTTAGACAAAAATTTAAGAATTATAAAAATTATTTACTATTATACATAAAAATAAAAATATTAATATATAATAAAATTATTTATTATATATGTATGTATGTATGTATAACAAAAATTATTTGTTTAATACTAGGCTCCTGAGCCTCATGAGTCGAACTTTACTAGGCTCGAGCTTAACTCGATTAGTAAGCGAGCCTACTATCGGGCTCGAATTCAGCTTGAAGCTCGGTTTAAACCGAGCCAAGCCGAGCTTTTCATGAGTTGAGATCAAATAGCTCGTAAAAGGCTCGGCTCGTGGCCACCCCTATAGATGAATTATAAACTAAGGACACATAGGAAACAACTAGAAGGCCAGGGGTGCAATAGTCCC